TCCTCGCCAAAGGAGCGGCTTGCACAGATTTCGGCGAGACATATTTTATGCACCGATCGAAAGACAAAATTTCCGCCCGTTGGGAAACGCTCATGACTGGTTTGTGTAAGGGCGTCAAGGCCTATATCAGGTCTCAGAATGCCAGTTATCCGGCCTATAACCAGCCTGTGGAGGCCAGCCCTGGTACCCAGAGCCCAGACCCGAGGACGAGTCTGAGCCTCGCCTCCGAGGGAAGCATGGCAATGACCAAAATGTAGAAAAGACCTAAAAACCTGTCTTAACTAAGAACCAAATATATATATATATATATATTTAAAAATAAGTAAATATATGTATATTTATATTTCTATATTCATTTATTTGTATAAATTTATACATACATATAACCAAAAGTACAGGAAGCTGGAGAGTCTTCACGTGAAAGAAGGCATTTTAACGTCAACACGCACATTTTCCAGGCCTGCATGTGTACTTTTGTAGAGGCTGGGAAAGTGAATTCGTAACAAACTTGAAGCAATTTGATTTGATTTAGTTTTAGCAACTTAGTCAAGGTGTCATAATGACCGTAAACGGGGAACCCGGTCCTGTGCGAGCTAACGTATAAATAATAAGGATTTCCCACAGCGGATCGTTGACTTGGTACATGCTCATAACGTTCACCGTCATAGAAGTAGCTAGTGAGCGTCAAAGTCAAAGTATTCTATTCGTATTCATTGGGGTTTGAAACTACCGGTAGATCTTGACCAAGAGTTATATTCACCCAAGGTGGCACAAAGTGGTCAAGAACGGACAATTGAATTTCCCCCAATCACATGAGTAGACCTTAAGTTTCCATTAAAGTTCACATTGCCTTGCTTCACAAAAGGTATTCTTCTCCAGGCAGGAGTGGACTGCAATTTCGACCTCGTCTCAACTGGCCTCATCAGCACTCACAGAGGGACTCGAAATATGACAGTGGCGAGTATAATCCAAATATGCCAACCACTACGCCAGACTGCCGTGAATTTCCTTGGGTCACATGGCGGATGTGAATTTCAAGGAGGGTCAGGCATTTTTCAATATCATCTTCTGTGGTGGGATTGCTGATGAAACAACTTTGTATTTGCTATAGCAATTGATACATTACTTATTTTCCGATGATAAGTAGGCTTTATGGACTACCAGTAGATCATTATATATATATATATATGATGTAATTAACCTATTTCGTTAAGCTGATGAGGGAGTGATAATTGAATTTTCCCACAATCGAGCCTAGCGATTCCATTGAATCTCACATATCCTTGCCTTATTGAATATCTACTGGTATTTTCGATGCCTATTGATTGCGAATATAAGTAACGTTGTCGATTGTCATAGCAAATATAGGTTTGCTTCATCAGATATCCAAATACAGAAAAAAAGTGTGAAATAGGGTATGGGGTTTTTGGTACCTTAGGTCAGGCTTTCTTTGAAACTGGTGGTCCGGAGCTCTATTGCTTGACTATTAGTCTCTCCCTCTTGCCCGGTGGATCCGTCTCTTGTTCAGGGATTTTATTTGATCACTGCCACCATGCCCGTGCTACTTGGTGGGTTATGTTTTACATTTAGACTCAAGTCTTTGATAGTACATATATTCCTGCCTCACTGAGCAGCCTCCAAATTCTGGATGCTTAAGCCGGATGGAGAAGTAACTTGGCATTGCCGATCCCCTTCTTGTTATTCGACATGGGCATTGGGTAAATCTCGGAGTCAAGCTTTTACTTCACGGACTACATCTATTATCAAAGTCATCTACTAATATCTTTCGTTTATAAGTAGTCTTTCCAGACTACCAATTCAATGGAAGCATAAGGTTTATTTATATGATTGTGGAAAAATTCATCTATCAATCCTTCAACATCCTACACCCAAGAGTGTGAATACATCTCACATATAGCATGTGCTAGTAGTCTCGAAAGCCCACTTACAAATGAACAATGTTCAAGAGTGCTTTGCTGGAAATATGATCACCTGGTC